GGGGGGGGGGGGGGGGGGGGGGGGGGGGGGGGGTGCGCACCCCCTCCCCCCAGAAAATCCGTGCCTGAAACAAACCACAACTCTGGAGGGTTGAAAGTCAAAAGTAAGAAACTGTCTATATGAGAAAGACTAGCCCGTTTCGATTCGATTCTCGCTACGGACTATGCGAAAGTAGTCAGTCAACGCTCTGCCGAAAGTCGTGAGTTTTCTCCGAGTGCTCCGTTTTCCTCCCACAGGGAAAGTTGACAGGGTGGGTTAGGATAAACACAGTTAAGAAAGTAATATCAAAATTGTTGTAAAAGATAAAATAACCTAGGCTAATTTTTTCTGTGTTGGTGTTGTGTACTCATGGTGAATATGATGTTTGTGATGTTACTCTGAGTGTATACCCACACCGGGCGAGCTTGAAAAATATGCCCGGCCACGGTGGGAATCGAACCTACGACCTTTGGAATACTAGCCCAATGCTCTGCCAACTGAGCTACGCGCTAATCTGAAACTATTAATATCATAGTTTCAGCTCAGTTGCCAGAGCATTGGGCTAGTATTCTAAAGGTCGTAGGTTCGATTCCCACCGTGGCCGGGTATATTTTTCAAGCTCGCCCGGTGTGGATATACACTCATCACAAACAACCTAGGCTAAGTATGTATAATTAGGTAAGCGTATAATACTTGATGTAAATGCTAATCGTATTCGTAAACCATTTAACGGGCTACAAGCCTTTCCTATAAAGTAAAGTTGATAGAAATATTCCAGAAAGCTACAGATTTGCCTACCCTGCCTGTAGCTATTGACCACTGAAATCACCCACCCTAATCTTCTTACCTGAAGTTTGCAGTAATTTATTTGAAGAGTAAATTTCTGCAAAATAATTTATTTGAGGAGGAATTTATTTGAAATTTATTTGAATTTTATTTGAAAAGCTTGAACCAATTTTTCGCTCCCAGTCCATATATGGCGTTAGTTTTGAACTAGTTCTGTAAAGTTGGAACTGTTCCAAAGGTGACATAACCTTTAACGAATGTTTGTGCCGTCTGTGCTTCCGTAATTGGCGTAAAAAACATGATAAAAACGTCGATAAAAAAATTACAAAATTACAAGAAAAGAACAACAGATAGGAAATCCAGGTATTTTTTTGTCTTTATGTTAATTTAAATCCTCTTTTGTCGCTAAGAAAGATTTTTGTGATCAAAATAAGTTCGTGTCAGCTCGCCTGGGACTTTTTACAGAAATTTTGTAAAACGAGAAGTATATTGCATTTATTTAGACGTTTTGATGCGAGCAAGAATCTTATTAAAAGCAAAAACGCCGCAAACAGGATTAATGTTTAATACTGTAGATATATTGTGTTTTTCTATGAATCTGAAACTATTAATATCATTTGTTTGCATAATGCGGCGTAATAAAATATTTTTATCCATCCAGTGTATTCTTATATTTAACTCTATCAGAACTCTACACAAGTTGTAGACTATAGTTTTAAGTAATACGAGAGAGGAACCAGTAAATTTAAACGCTATTACTAGACACTTTCGAGTGCCAAGGATATAATGGTACCCGCGTAGCTCCCTCTTCAGACAACTCTGTGAATTCCCAAACGGAATTTCGTTAAATCTTGGTACAAATTGCGATAGACCTCGGTCAAAGATTTAAATTGAAAGTATTTCACTCTGAAGGGTGTCATTAGTTTTGTCTGAGCTACCTGTAAAAAAGGTTCTAAAACATTTCACTAACTTCGCTTGTTGAAGTGTTGTGATCTTTTCTGCAAGTCGTTCACAACGCACGTAAATGCTTTACTTTAGAATTCGTACGATTACAAACTATTCTGCGTGTGTACATATATTAATTACATGAACAATGCATAGGCTACCTGTGGCAGGTTTATAGATGATTACCCGCGGAACACGTGTTTAATTGTCTCTCGCCATTCAAAACATTCGGACACCTTTGACGTGTCTTCCGAGACACTTCAGAGAAGCATGTGTGAATTGGCTTTAATATATATAGTAGCTTCGCTGTGAAATATTGCTGTGAAGCTAATGTGTGTTTAAAGCTTGCTTTTCATTTGATCGCTGTTCTCGTAATTATGTATTAGTTATATATACCGACGTGAAATGGTCTGGATCTATCTTGGCTTTTGTGCTGTGTATGTAAATCAGTCTTAATTTACTGGTTTAATATACACAGATGCATCGACCTTCTGTGACATTCGTTATCTTGATATGGTTTTGTCAGTGTTGCACGCGACCAAATTCTAAGCTTTGGAAAGGTGTTACCTGAACGCTGTTATGTGCAACATTTATGCATTTGCTAGTTGCTTTTTTAAGCAAAAGATAAAGCAATTATAGCTATCCGATCGCCGGGAAGTTTGCATATATTAAAATTAGAATGCATATCGTATGAATCCGTGTATAAAACGATATATCAAATATCAAAAGTAAAATAAAGTTCAGTGCCGAAACATAGACTATAAACTTATTTCTTTACGTTCAATAGTTGGACTGGTTGGTAGAAATCGTAAAATGAATCGAATTTGCATTATAATACATGACTGATATCAATTTTATTAATAGCGTTGCGGAAAGATGGTATGCGATATAGCCATGGGCAAAACAGTTTGATCAAACATGTAAATCATACGGTTTTCAATTAAATGTGCGTTTCCAAGCCATGTCCTTGCATGGTGCGCAGTACATTTCCTTGAGCCTGAAGGTCTCTGTTTGTGCCAAAATTTTGATAAACGATTTTTGGTACATGCACATTGTCACATATATTATCTTAACTGGTATTTAATTTTAGTGTTAAACAGTTTGAAGTAATATATAAAACTAGTTATGAAATATGTGTCTGAACTACTTGAAAACGTTAGTCAGACGTGGAGATCAAGTGTATAGGTAGTATTATTGAATAAGTTGTTGTGGTTTGTCTGGAGAACTACCTGAAAAAGATATCTCAAACGTGGAGGTCTAGTGTAGGTAGTATTCTGCGATAAGCTGTCGTGGTTTGTGTCTGAACTAAATGAAAAAGATATCTCTGCGATCAGCTTGCATGCCTGAACTAACTGAAAAAGATTTCAAAATAGTAATATTACAGTGCCCTTGTTCATTGGGAAGATTTTCCTCATTGCGTTCCAAAGTTAATCTTATTATACTGTATAGAAGAGTTGTTATTCAAATAATTATATTTATAATAGTGCGAGGAAGATCATTAGCATTACAATACCGCTCATATCAACCTGTGTATAATTGCCCATCATCTCATAATGATCGCTCAACCGTTCGCTTTCCCGTAGAGCAATTCTTTACGAATTCACGCCACGATATTTGCTTCAAAAGATTGAAAAATAATCCCCTACAGAGGCCGTTTACGTTAGAGGACGCTTTTAGCTTGTTTTGGGGACGCAAAGTGAACAACTTTGGGGTTTTTACTCGCTTCAAAACACGTGCGATTTATGGTGAATTAAAAATGCATCTTTTCAGACGCTTGTGACGTCTTTGCTTGGTTGGCAAGCACATGATACAAACAAAAGAGTTGTCGACGAGGCGCTAAGGCATCCCCAACATTCGTCTATAAATTAACTTCCTTTTGACACGCTGCATGTACTTACTTCTGGGCCATATTTTAAGTCGCTATCAACTTCTATATATAATTTATCACACGGGGCCTTAGTTCAACCGAAAATTACTCCTACTCGTCCAGGAATTTATGTGGAACAATAACAGTAATGATTGAATGTATATGCAAAACTGGACGACACTTTGTTTATCTAAGCTAGACTAAGCTACGGGCGCCTGTCGAAAAGCCAGCCAATTCATTATGTGGCTTAGCATTTGGCTTTAAAACTTCCTATGTCCTGAGCGCGAGATTTTTATATGATAAAAACCGTTTTCCGTTTTAAGTGAGAAACGTTTAACACATAATTACTAATGTTTTATTTTGGGTGTGAGAGTAAAGGACAATGGGATGTGCTGGAGGAATTTACATTCTGATTTGAAGTAGAACTAGGGAGGATTGTCACATAATATGAGTTGAAGGTTGAATGTGTTTAAAGCGTGGTGGACTAAGTGAAAAACCGAAACGGTAGCCCCACGCCAGTACACCGCGCAGCTGTATTTTATCTCAAATTTAAGTCTCGAGTGTGTTGATCGAAAGTAAACTCTCCCAAATGTCACTTTGTTTGCCGTTTGACAAATTAAGAAGACCCATTTACTTGACTGCTGTATGTTTTAACTGATCCACCAATCAGCGTGCGTCTTCACGAGCACGTGCCACAGCTGGCGTCGAGGGCCACGATGCATTGTGGGCTAGATCTTGCGAAGTCAAAAACATGACTTTGTGTGTCTGTTCCCTGCAATATATGTCATATCTTTCGTAGCGTGGTTGTCACAACACCAACTTGGCCTAAATTTCGACTGGTGTGCCACAACACCGAATACACTAAACTAAATGCCGATACCCACAGCCACAAGTTACTATATGGATGGCACAGAGGCTTTGAGTTCAACGAGCCAACTAGAAGCCGACCAAAGAGCGCTGCATCTCGCCATAGAATACTCCATGCTTGGCCTAACTAACGACGATGATACCTCGAACACGTTCGATGAATTGCGTGTGAAGAAGAGTGTTAATATGACCGAATGTGTGGCTGTGCCGAGCTCTGAGCACGTCGCCGAAATCGTTGGACGACAAGGTAGGAAGGAATTATCTAGATCGTTCAAAATCCCTCGTGCTTAGCAAGGCACAAAATGTTGCTACCCCCGTTGATTTGATTAAAATGACTAAAACAAGGTCGTGATGTATAAAAGTACGAAGACAGCCTTTGTACAACACTGTGTCAGCCTAAAAACATCTGGGTAGAATCGTAGTAGTTCATAATTTCACAGACATTTCTCCGACTTAAACATGACAACAATATTTCATGAATTTTGAAATATTCAAAAATTCATTATACAAATTCATATGAGCGGGAAAATGAGACATACGCAAACATAATGTATCTAAATATATATTAACCTAGTAGTTTTTCGTCTAGGTTGCAAAATCAAAGCATTGAGGGCAAAGACGAACACGTACATCAAGACTCCGGTACGAGGCGAAGACCCCGTGTTCGTAATAACCGGTCGCAAAGAAGATGTCGCTGTAGCGAAGCAGGAAATATTGTCGGCTGCGAACCATTTCTCACAAATTCGTGCCCAACGTAAGAACTCTACTCTGAACTCGGGTCCTTCGTCTCCGACTGGCGGACCCGGGCAAACGACGATTCAAGTACGAGTGCCCTATCGAGTCGTAGGTCTTGTTGTCGGACCCAAAGGTGCTACAATCAAGCGAATTCAACAGGCGACTAATACCTACATTGTGACACCTTCGCGAGACAAGGAGCCCATTTTTGAAGTTACTGGCAGTTTGGAAAACGTGGAGTCGGCAAGGAAGGAGATTGAGACTCACATTGTGCTTCGTACTGGCGGCCTGCTGGACGACGATGTTTTTCAAGGCAGCACTGACGCACTGAACTCGTTCAACGGCTTTCAAGCTGGGCATATCTATGCGAACGGGGTGAGTCGAAATGGCAGAGATCTACACCGCGCGCTGTCTACGGACTCGTTTTATCTGAATTCTTCAAAAATCACCGATTACAATGCCTTGACAAGTCCGTTTTCCACGTCGAGCAACGGCACAAGTAATGGATATTTCTTCAACCACGACCTCATCCCTTCGCCTACCGATGATTTAATCATCCCGAACGTCAGCAGTAGTGGGTTTAGTTCAAGCCCACCGCCTCCATCGCCCTCTATCTGGGGCTCTGACACGAAGTCGGACAACTCTGCTTTCTCCACAACAAACGGAGGAATGAATGGAGTCGGTTCAATCGGTAGCGGCCGGCCTACGACACCTCATACAACCGCGCGAAGATTGGCAAGCGAGCCATTGCTGCCTGCCCTACCTCCGAGCACAACTCTCGGTTCCTTTTCCCGTTTTACAACCTCAACGACCGCTCCAATTGGGACTTTAAGTAACTCTAGCAATACGCTGACAACTACGACATCGTTGAACGGTGAAATTCCTAAAGTAAATGGAGTTATTGGCTCTCGTTCCCCTACGAATGGCGAGTCGAGCAATAACAACAATAACGTCGCTTCTAAGAAGAAAGACTGTATGGTGTGCTGTGGCTCTGAAGTCGTTGCCGCTCTTGTGCCGTGTGGCCATAATTTCTTTTGTATGGAGTGTGCTACGAAGCTCAAAAGCGACGATTCCCACTGCCCCGTATGCCAAGAGCAAGTTACGCAAGTTTTACGTATAATTTCATAAGGAGGAATTCAACGCATCGTTGGTTTGCCTGCCAAGAGCTAAGTGAATTTGAAGTATATTTACATCACCATAATATACAATCCAAAATGAACTGTTTACTATATGATACCAAAGTAAATCATATATAAAAGAAAAAATTCAATTTAGCAAATGCGAATATACAAGATCGCTGGCTAGGTCTTGTAGTTTTCTAATCCGAAAACGGTTTTTGTATGCAAGGGTTTTAGTCTTGGTTTTTTTTTTTGTATAGAATATAATTGCACACCGCACTCATTAAAGTCAAAATCCTTTCGTGCAAAATACCAAAAAATCTATGTACATTATTAAGAAATGGTTCTGTTTGCTTAAGCTTAAATGCAGTGCGCTTATCTTTAAAGTTAAACAAAATTTGCGCGCGCCAATGCAGTTTAAGCTTTGGCCAATCTGAGCCAGTTTGTGTATAGCAGAATATTTTAGATTGCTTATTTTACTACCTTAGTGTGTTATATAAAAACAGAGTAGATGTATTTATCCAGAACTATTTTACGTGATGTTTATTAAGATTTAAGAAAAGCCTTTTGATATATAATTCTGTTTAAATATTATTCAAGATATATGTAATATTTGTATCGATTAATAGAGTAATTTCACAGAGACTATAGAGTCGACTTATACATATAATTCTATTTGTCATTTTATAATATTATATATTCCATTAAACTATTCGCCTTTCACTCACATTATAACTTACTCAAGAGTCCACGAAATAGAGATTTGTTCAGATTATTATTATATATATAAATAACGTACATAACATGATGTGACAAAATTATTTTTTATTTTATTCCTATAAACAATGTTAAATGCAGAATATAAGAGTTAGAATATTGCAAAAATTGTATAGCTTTATTTTTTTTCATTAAAATACACTATAATAATATAAAGCTGTTGTGTGTGTGTTGTATATTTGATTTAGTTCCGTGTCGAGAACCTTTTTTTATTTGACAAATTTAGTTCCCAAATTTATCTTGCCTCATTGTGCTTATGCCGAAGAGCTAACGTTAGAAAATAGGCACAGCAAACTTGGGTTTATGAATTATGGGTAACGTTACTTAAAAGTTTGCTTTTATCTGAAAAGACTTGTCGGTAAAAAGCTTGTCAGTCTTTGTTCGATACACGAGCAAATTTTAAGGTAAACTATGTGGAACTTTAGTTATATAACTCCGACAATCTAAAATGCTTCATAAGTATATGCGTGCGTATAACATTTGATACTTTTGCAAAGCGGCGTTAATTTCCTACGAACTTGATGTAGCAAACATCGAATTTAATGTTCTGGTTGTGCCAATAAGTGAAGATTTTCGAAGAGTTCATACTTCGCGTTATCATGCATGAGTTTGTTTTTGCACCACATAATATACTGGCTCGTGTTTGCTTACGCGGCACTTATCTGACCAATATTCATGCAAATAGGTTTCGGTACTTATATCCAAACAATACAACTTCTGCCCTTAAACCGGCTTAGTTTATGTAGAGTTCTACAAGTACTCGTATACTGAAGTGTGCCCCACGAAAGCAACGCTTCGTGCACGAACACACAAAACACTACAGGAGCGCGGCGCCCCTTTGGAAACACATTTCTAGCAGTCATTATTATTTAAATTCTAATAGCTACCGCATAAAGAAAGCTTGCGAATAGACGCTGAACAATTAGGACAAATAATTTCAAATAATTACTCCAAAAACGGCGCCTAAAAGAAAGGTGGAATTGGAAGAGACTATAACGTTTCATTCCTAATAAGCGCTCTATCGTTATTTTAACTCCTCGTTTATTTATCAAGTAGTTTCCGACGCAAAGGCCTGCGGTTTTGGAGTTTCCTTTTAGATCGCCTATCGCGTAGTCGAATTTTTCCCACAATTGCCAACTTGCATTCAAATAGCCTTTGTTTTCGGCCACGCACGCGGAACGGCGTTGGATATCAGTAAGCAATTTTCGAAAGCACTTACGATCGTCAGGAAATCTCTTAAAAACGGCACACTTTCTGCTATATAAACATGTTTGCAAGCGGTAAACTCTGGGTATCGTAATATGTCGTTAAAAACATGCTGCCATACATAATTTATCTCATTGCAGACCTGTTACTGCTGTGGCAGTGCAGTGCTTGCCTGCCTGGGCTAAGTATAATCATATATGTAAAATAGCTGCGTTTACGAGCATAAGCGCGATAACTTAATCCTAAAACACTGCGTTATGATTAATTAGGTAAAGTGCACATCGTTAATAAAAACTTTGGTTTAAAATTGGATAAAAGTGTTTATAGGTCTATTTTCGTTGCATTTGTTTTTGGCAACTGTTGTTTAAAATAGCGTTCACCTGTATGTTTTGAACGTCTTGTTGTTGTTTTTGACAACATTTTAAGGCACTCGACTCTCCTATTACGCAAGGGAAATTACATTTTTATGTAGACAGGAAAAAAGCGTAGGACTCAGGCGAGGACAATTTGCTTTGGCACTTACATTGGGAAGCGTTTTCAAGGAAACGCTTTCAATTTTTCACACACGAATGACACAATTGCAAGAGTGTACACGTAGCACAAAAATGCACTCGAGTATAGACGCATTGTGTTCAATTGTCTTTCAATTGACATTGTTTTAACTTTTAACCTCGTTTAAGGAACGTGTCAAAACGCAAATTTAGAATCGCAGTGACATTGAACATTTTTTCAAAGTGCGTGAACTCAATTTCGCTATTTAGTAATTATTGCATGGCATTATTGCATAGATTATTGAATGTGTCAACTAAAGTTAATTTACGCTAGATATTCCCTATCAGTTCTAATTAACTATTCTCCACAGAGGCCCAAGTAAATGCAATTATATTGGCATTGAATATTGATCCAGTGAGTGGTGGTATACTAAGTCTAAGAGTCAAACTGGAAGTATTATTCTTACATGCGACTATAGGGCGACGTTTTATAATCAAGCTACAGCATTAACCGCAAAGTTTAAAGCGATAAGTTGTTTGTTTTGCGAGGTTCTTAATTATTATCATGTGACCAGACGATTGGCCAATACCATCACGTTTTATTTTTAGCACATTTTGATCACCAGTAAAATAAAATTAAATTGGGTGACGTCACAAGGGTGGTAAAATCTTTGCAAGAAGACAAAGACGCAGAATATTTAGGATTCGTTCCTGCTCTTTTGGCGATATTATTATTTTAAGTAATGCATGATATAAGCTGGGCCAGCCATTAGTCCATTAGTATAAGGTGTTCTAGTTGTCGCAGTGACATTGCAATGCGCAGTGGTGTTATATGCAATGTAGTCCAGTCAAATCACTATAAGTATACATGGTCCTGATCAAAGTAATCGCAATAGATTTTTTTTCAGTGGTAAAGTGTGTGAAAAGTTGTTCTGATTAACATATTAAAAATCCCTTCGGTGCAACATGGTGAAAATCAAGTTTTTCTTACTTCTACCTATAGAAAACCATTGCGGACAAAATGTTGAAATTTTGAAATTATTTTTTTGCAAATATAACATGCATCATTGGAAAGCTTAGAAAAAACTAAAATATAGATCATTAAACGGTTACCTTACTTTTGCCTATCCAGCCGAAGTTATACATGATTTAAAATGCCATAAATTTGTATTTTGTGCAAATTTTGCGCTATTTTTCCAACTTTGAGCTAGAGTAATGACAAACTGACCAGTAAATTGAATATAACTGTTTAATTGACCTTTATATAGTTTTGTTTAAGCTTTCCAATAATGTAGGTTACATTTGCCTAAAAATGATTTCAAAATTTGAACATTCTGTCCACAATGGTTTTCTATAGGTAGAAGTAAGAAAAACTTGATTTTCATCATGTTCCACCGAAGGGATTTTTTTGGATTTTTAGTATGTTAATCAGGACACCTTCCCTCACGTTTTACCACTGAGAGAAATTCTATTGCAATTTCTTTGACCTCTGGTCACAGATTGACTGGACTAATGTGTTTGTTGAGGTTCTCACTAATTGGTGAGCGGATTTCCCAACAGCCAGGTGATCTTGTGTTCGTATTTTAGCCAATCAGCGCTCAGAAAGGGTTGTCCAAATAGAAATCCATTTTGATGTATTCAGTCAATTATATCTTTCGTTATTCTTTATGAAACTAGTTGAAATTTTGTAATTATGTTTGCTTATGAGAACTATAGCTGTGACAAAAATATGGCATCGAAATAAAGTATATTACAGGAGATACTCAGTTGTTTTAATCACAAAATGGTTTTCTATTTGACAACTAGTGCCAGTACTTTTCCGCGTATCAAGATCATCTGGAGGCTATTGCCCAATTAATTGGGGATCCGAGGTTACCTACGATTTTGACGTACTTTATATCCGAGAAGACGCGAAAGTCTAACCATTTACCGTGATGTCAATGCGAAGGTAGCACTCTTGATCTCCTCAATTATTTTAAGACCTTGAGTAGAGGTCCGACCAAGCTTAAGGATTGAACCCTGGTCTCCCAACTTGAAAGGCAAGCGTGGGGACCACGACACGCACCACAAGTGCCGTTCAACTCCGTGACTGTATGAGATTGCTGTAATAAATAGTTGTCTGAATTATAACTTCACCTAGTCACATGTGAGAAGAGTGTTTCAGTCTGGATCGATACTCAGTAAGCCACGATCCTTACTGGTCATCTAGGGGAAACCGTTTAGAACTGCTAGAGTCATCTATTGTCCAAACTCCAAAGTTAGTTTAGTTTGGGAGTGAACCTCTTAGATATCCTTGGAAGGTGTCCCCACTGGGGGTGGAAGGGAGGGG